AGCCCTGCTAACTGATACTACATTATTCCATATGCCACATAATCATCCAGTGTAAAATTGTTTACTATACAGATCGTCAGATAGTCCTTATTATTTAATTTCTGCTATTTGGTTTATGTGTTTTTTTCTGGAAAAAGAAGCAGATGTAAATCAGTGTAAAGTCAGGATTATGAGATTTGATGCTTGGAGAAAATGTATTCAATAAAACTTAATAGTTGAAAAATTGGTGCCTTTTCGTACCATACTATAAAAACTCCAAATGATACATAACTTTTCCACTAAGGAATTTTTAAAAACACATTGCCATTGTTATAGTAATAAAATCTTTTTAAATGGTATGTTTTAAAAGTAATACTTTGATCTCAGCAGACTGTAGGGATGGACATCTTTAGAAACTACACATTTAAATTAGAGAACACTGAATTTTTCATCAGCATTTTGATTTTGAAAAGGAAATCTTCATAAATGCCCACCTTTAATCAAGATCTGTTTTCAAATTTGCACCTTCAAATTTGTGACTTAGAAATACAGCAGTCCTCTTTATGCCTCTGCAAATAACTAGGTAACTAAATAATGTTACCTCTGCCTTTAGAGGTCTCACTAATATTCCATATTGCAAGCACTGCAAATACAGCTGCAACTGTATTTATTTGTACTTGTCCTTCCTTCTCTCTCTGTTGCTGTTTTTAGTTGTTGCTGTGGGAACAATAAGCCAAAGAAGTGAGTTTTGCACTTCTTTCTGAAGGCTGTGAGAATGAACACATGCTGGGACTGAAGATTTGGATATGTATGAGCACAGAGCAGGTATCACACAGTTCCCTGCTTTCCTTCCCTGTTCTGTCCTCGAGGGTCACTCCTGGGAATAAAGTGTACCAGTTCCTACATTCAAAATGGCAATGTTAGAGGGAAGATGAAAAAAAAAAGTTTACTGTAATTGTACAGGGGTTTGTTTTTAGGTCACTCCATGAAGGTGCTGTGAGGTTAAGATTCTTACAGCTCTTAAACTGAAGGACTAACCTCCCCTCTCCCCCCGCCCCTTTCTCCCACCATCATCACTATGTGCTTTAAAACCCCATATAACCTATTATTAAATGAAACCAGTGTGATATTGTCAGGAAGGCCCAACTCCCGCTTTCAATATTCACAAAGGATGAAATTCACCCTAGCACAGAGGACTGTGGATCACTGGCAGCCCCACTATAAACCTTATACGAGATTTAATTTGTGTAGTTTTTGTGCCATCCCTCTGGACAGAGATGAATTTCATTCGGCCTTTTCTGAACTTCTAAGGGTGTTTTATTATTCTTCATTTTAATTCACATCCAGATCATTACAAATCAGGTTCAGAACCATAAGCTATATATAAGTGATCCAACAGCCACTTGTTTAGATTACACTTAGGCTTTTTAAATTTCAAATAATATGATTTTTTTGATACTATGGCATTTCACGATCAAAATACCTATTATAGTCTAAAATCTAGGACATTTTCTTGGTGCTCATAAATGAAAAAGATGAAAGGATGACAAATCCATTATTTTTGTTTTCATTTTTTTACAGCTGATCTATTTATATTGAGTGTTCTGATCCAGTTTAATGGAATTACTAGTGTGCTAAATCTGTCTCTATGAAAGAATATGTCTACACAACAAAATGAAGGTGTGGGTATAAAAAGAAAGGGTATCCCTAGTAAATATAACTAGCATGGGTATACTAACTAGGAAAACAGGGTTAGCTTCAGCACAAGGTAGCAACCAGCCTGGAAGCTCAATGGGAGCTCTGGGAACATACCCTAGTTACCACCCCTATGTCTAGGCTGGCTAAATGAAAACCAGCAAGGGTATGTTTACCTGTGCTACAATCACAAGTTTAGAACATAGCCCAGGACATGTCAGCCCTAGAAACTAAGGTCACTGTTGTTTTTATTTTTAAGGATATAATAATGTAAAATATAGATTTAGTTTCTCCTGTATGTACTGTAACTACATTAACAACCCCTTTGAAAAACAGAGTAACAGTGTACAGACCAAGATTTTATAATAGTAAATCTGCATATACAGGAATGGCTTACTGCCATAAAGAAATAGGAGCAGTCTATACCAGTCTAAGGCTGGTACTGGTATTAACAAGTTTATTATCCACATTAGAAGTTGCACCAGCACAATTACTTTGGTACAATTCACACCCCTCATCAGAATAGGTCTACTGAGGCAAAACCTGGGCAGATCATGCCTAATTGTAGACTCCCATTACTTTGGTTGTATTTCTATATTCATTTAGGACAAGAGCAAAACTTCCATTCATTGTAATAGCACTGTGCTTAAGTGAAAGTGATCTATATTTAAAAGCATTACATACTTGTAATTGATGTGAACAAAAGCTCAAAGAACATTACCAACCCATAGAAGGAACAGAAACATCAATATGCAAAAACTGTTGTGTTTTAAATTAGCTTGTTCTGTTTTGATCTCCCTTTTACAATCCTCTTCCTAAACTGATACATCAGTTCTAGATGCTTTGAGGCAGCAGTGCAGTGCTAGATGATTAGCACTTCCCAAGGCAAACCATTTAGTTAGGAACCTAAATATAGGCTAGAAAAGCCTGACCTATACACACACCTTTAGCATGCTCAAGTGAGGAATAATAGCAAAGGTGAGGACTACATGCACAAATTAACCTTTGCTTTTATTTACATGGGCATTATGATAAAGTCTGTAATTAGGAAATTATACATTGTTTCCCAAATATTAAAATACAGTATTATACTATTTTTCCTACAGCTCAAGGATGTCATTCATATTACGTGATAGATATTGAAGAAAACATAGATTCTGATATAATCCTTGCTTATGCATCACCCACCATACCATATCTACAGTGAATGAAGAATGAAATCATTTTGATGCTAAATATATATAGTAATATAGTCTATTGTATTATTTGAGCTGCCTCCATATTATGGAAGTCCTTGGCTCCCACCTCCACAAGGAGAATATGTCCTCAGGACAAAAGCAGGTAGCTGTATGAGGTTTGGAGATATGTAAAGATACTACTAATGTCCAGGGCCTCTGTCTAGGGACCCTGACATCAAGCAAAGAGCCTGAGATTGGTATGGATCTTTTTGACTGAAGAGAGCAATAATGAAGAACTCATTAAAATGACTCTTTTAGTCATAAGATGGAGAACACTTTCAGATAAGAAACACAGGAGTAAGGAAACCTAGGAGAAATAGGACATTTTATTTTTACACTGTATATTTCCCCAGATTTAAAATCTTCCAGATTCTTCTATGGATGTAGAGACAAGATAAAAGCAGAATTTCTTTATTCACTGCAAAGAAGATTTTTTTTTTGTTACAGTCCCAAGGAAATTATTTATGTATATATGGAGTGATGGGTTGCCAAAAGACTTTTTATAAGAAAAATATTGCATATAGACTATATATTTTAGTGAAGCTTAGGTTAATTATGAACCAGGCTAGGTTTGAAACTATAAATAGTAGGGGTACAATGATAGAGATTTTTGGGACCAATACCGATAGCTGATACTGATCTGATTTCCAATACAGCTGCCTCCAGCTGGAAAGTCCAGTGTGGTGGAAGTGGAGGGGAGGGGCGTGGGTGGACAGATCAATGACCCCCATGATGAGGTAGGGGGCAGGGCGAAGGGGGGTTGGCTCCCGCCACTGCTTGCACCCTGAGAGGGTGGAGGGGAGGGGAGAGCGTGCCCCAGAGCTGCATGGGGCAGAATGGGGTGTACTGCAGCTAGGGCTACATGGGGCTTTTCTTGGCAGGGGCTAGGCTCAGAGTGGGGGCTGGCAGCACTGGGAGGATGCTGTATCCACCCCAAATTTCATCACCGTTCTGCTCTCAGGGCTGCCACTGCCAGCCACAACCCCAGCTCAAAGCCCTGCATCCACCCACACACCAGGAAGAGCCAGAGGAGCGCTGGGCAGCTGACGGTGGCAGTGCTGGGAACTGAGCTGCGGTGAAATTTGGGTTGGATGCAGCATCCTCCCAGTGCCACTGGAGCCCTTTCCAATTCCTGACCCCAACAAGGAGCCTGCACAGCTCCGGCTGCAGCCCACCCCGTCCCACCCCACACAGATCCCAGGGCACGCCCCTCCGGTCCTCTCAGGGTGCAACCAGTAGCGGAAGCTGCCCCTCCCCCACCCTGCCCGGGCAGTGCCTACCCCC